TCCGTGCTCCCCCCCCCCCCGGGAGGCTTCAGCCCCCGCTGCTTTCACCACACGGATGCTTGTGCGCATCCCTCTGTGTGAGGAGAGGGGAGGTGGGGGTGCAACCTTTCCCTTTTAGCCCTCCCGTTTCCCCCTTCCATACCCCCGCCCCCGTTAGCTTCCTCTCCCGAGCAAAGGGGATGAAGAAGCCAAAAGCCCTACCTGTGCTTGACCGTGCTTTCGGTCGCGATTTACACCCGAAGCCGGTGGGCGATCCTCCTAAGAGGCTACTGGGGGGAAAAAGTCCAGAGCCATATTCTGGGACATACGGTGGGTAGGTAGTGATGGGGTGATGAGCGGAGGAGGTGGCTCCTCCTAAAGAGGCCATGCTGCTCCGAGAGTGAGAGGACTCCAGCTTCATGGTATCGGCCAGGGACACCTGGTATTTGATGCATTCCTTCTCGTCCTGCCGGGTGGAGCCGGTGGAGCCGGGCGTGGAGATGGACGGATCCGGGGACACATCTTTAGGAGGGGTCGGTGGGAAGGTGAAAAGGTGCGGGCTGGAGTGGCCGGCGGATAAAGTGGAAGAGGAAGCGGGTGGGTAGACGGAAAGGGGTCCCGGTGAGCTGTGATGGATGGAGGTCTTGGAGAAAGGGCTGAGGTTCCAAGGGGAAGCGCTGTGGTGGCTGCTCAGCGCTTTGCTCCCGTCCAGCCAGGGCAGCGAGCCGTGCAGCAGCGGGGGGCGGCACACCTGGCTCCCTGCTCGGAGAAAACACAGCGAAACGCCTGTTACATCCCCTTTGCCACCCTGGCAAGACCCCGTAGGGATGCCGGGCTGTAATCCCCCCTCCCTCCTTCCCAAAGGGCTCAGTATGAGGGGGGAAGAAGCAAAAACTACAATTGATGCAAAGCCTCGCTCCCTTTTAAAATTTAAAAGCTGCAGGAGCCTGAGGTGGCAGCCCCGATCCAGCTCAGGACCGGGTCGCTGGGTTCCGCCCCCCCCCAGCAGGGATGCCAGCCCTGGGACACGGAATTTGGTGAGAGCTCTGCTTCACTTTCTCCCTTTTCCAGACAATCCCACGCGGACTTTGAAGGGAAAATCCTGCGTGAAATTGCCAAGCCCTGACTGCAGAAATCTTTTTTATCTCATTTTTCTTAGTTGGAAAATAATTTCCCTAACGCAGCCGTAGGCTACAAACCCTGGGAATACTCTGGTCGAACGAAGAAGACCAGAAGATGCCCAAAGAGGTGATAATAACCTTTCCAACAGGGCTGCTAAACTTTGCTACCCACCTAGTGTGTTTGGTTTGGTGTGTTGTTGGTTTTTTCCTTCCAGGAGGCTGTACATAAATGTCAGACAGTTTTTTCGTGGCTATATGGCACATGCAGAAAGTACCAACAGTCAAGAAAAGAAATTTTCCATCCCCTTCTTACGACAGGAGACTCTTCACTCGTATTTTAAAATACAGACCTGGACTTTACCAAAAACCCCACGAGATTTAAGCAGTCAAACCCAGTTTTCTTTGGTTATAAATGTTCTTAAGGGATGGTACCTGGTATTTGAAATTAATTGCTGGCCTTGCTTTAAAAATAATAATAATAATAATAAAGGTATATCCAAATAATCAAATCTACCCAAATGCACAGCATCCTGAACAATTTGCTGTGAGCTGAAAAACCCAGTTACTCAACTGGAGGAAAGAAAGTTTGTGCCTACTAATCAAGCCCTGGAAACGCATTGACACCTAGAGAGCCTTACCCTGTGCAGATATCGTGATATATGTATACAGACTGCTAAATACACAGGAGAAGAGATGCAAACACAGATCTGTAGAGCCACAGAGAGTTAAAGAGCTGGTGCAGCAGGGTGCACGTATGTTTGCATGGGAGCTTGTGTTTGTGTAGAAAATCTCCAAGCTCGTTTCCACCGTACCAGATATTTGTGAACAATACTGAAAGTAACTGCTCGAAAGGAAGGGAAGGTGGGTTATACGAATAGAAAGGGTCAAGATTCATTATCTTCTCCAGGAAGTAGCATAGTAAATAATACTCAGGCTAGATCAGAGAGACCGCATTTCCACTTTCTGCTGATATGTTGGGAGAAAAAAAAAGAAATGAAAAGAAAAGAAAGACAGGACAAAGGCTGCTGATCCTTAGAAATAATTGTTTTAAAGGGACTAATAGCAGAACAATGCAGTTACTGAGCGAAGCCTAATGCAGACTCGCACTCAACAAGTAGCTGAGGGCTGGGAGCAGCCCCCTGAACCGGGCTCGGCTCCATCTCCACTCGCTCGTCCCACTTTCTTCTTGATTTTGGGGTGATTTCACTTGCAAACCTCGGGCTTTTTAGAATTCACCCCTCCAGAAGTCACTGTCCGGCTCAACAAATCAGCATCTACTTTTTTCCCTCCTTTTTTTCATGTTTCCCTTTTCCTTATTTTTTAACCCTACAGGTAAAACTCCAACTACCAACACTGGATCTCTCTGGTTCTCCATAAAAGATGGCACCAAAGCGCTCATCCCACCGCAGACTTGAGCCCCACTGGCCCCAGGTATTTCACGTCTTATCGCTGTGACCCAGGAATAAAATTCCCATTGTGGATCTCTACCTTCCTGCAGGACCCAGAGGAAAATACACCAGGTCTGACACCTAATTACACCACGGGATTTCTTTTACTTTCTTTCTTGTTGTTTTTTTTTAACACGAGCCGTGGTGCAGCCCTGGGTGCATGTGCAAAACTTTCAGCCCCAAGCCCTAACAAGCTCACCAAGTGCGAATGAAATAACCCAAGCGTGAGGACAGCAGAGTCATTTTCACACCCCAAGCTCTCCAGCTTGCTTTTCTTCTCCAGATCAGCTTAATCGTGCAAAAAAAAAAAAAAACTAAACACGGTATGAAAACCCTGTTAACCTAATTAAAGAGAAGGGAAAGAAGGAAGAAAACACGAGAAAGATGAAAAGGGAAGAAAGAAAAAGAAGAGCAAGAGAGGGGGGAGAGGAAAAAGAGGAGAGAGATAAGAGGAGAGAGAAGGAAACAAACAGCAAGAGAAGGAAAGAAAAATATAAAGAGAGACGTAAAGAAAGAGAGAAAGAAACTGAAAATAGGAAAGATGGAAAGAAAGAGAGAGAAAGAAAAGAAGACAGAAACATTAACAAAAAATACCGAAAGAGGAAACAAGTAAAAAAAAAGGAAGGAACCCTGGATTTTCATCTATTTCCAATAAGCCAACCCCAAAATCCACACGTGACGTAGTTTCCCCGCCGGCAGGAGGTCTTGCCGGGGTCTGCCCGACGCCAGCCT